GGTGGGCCTAAGCCTTCAGTTGGGCATCCCCCGAGGGATCTTGGATTGCTAAAGGGTGCAGGCCAGGCTGAGGGGGGACCTCCCACCCCCAAGTGCACGAATGTCCTGCACTGGGCCTATAGTACTTACATAATTAAGTGCTAGACAAGAGTCAGCGCTCAATAGATATTTGTTATGTGGATGAATGAAGAATGTCAGTAATGTTTTTGATACTGAGTCAGCATTTGATGAAAGTTCTTCCATCTTGCTTTATTTCCTTAGCTTGAATCTGGTCCTGAATCTGCCTGCTTCTTCTTTGATTAAATATGAAGATGATATCAGATGGTCCCAATCTGACTGTGGCTTTGTGCTTCAGAATTGGAATCTTTCTTATCTATAACTCACATTTTCTGTTTGTGAATTCCAGAATCAGGTTATAATTTCAACTGCAGACTTGTTCTAACAGTACTCTCTCTTTTTAACTTGTGATTATCATAATGATAATGAAAAAAATAATGGAATAAGCAATGCTAAGAGAGGCACTTAAAATAGAGTCAGGAGGCTATGAAGGAAGTGGGGCTCCGGCAGCCTGCCCACAGCTTGCGCCTCAGTTCTCTGAGCTGCTGTTAAGTTACTAACCTGTTGCTAACTCAGCTCCAGGTAGAGCCATAAACACCCTAGAACAACTGCTAAATGGACACATATGAACTTTACTTCCTCCTTGTAGTTTTTGCTTTCCTCATTTGCATAGTGGAACTAATCAATCCCTCGTAACCTAAGTCAGCAATCCCTCATTTGCATGAAAAAAATTACACGTTTTGGGTTTTGCCTTTATAAACCCTGTTTTCTTTATTCTCTCTAGAGTGCAGTTGGGTTGTTCCTTGAATTTGCAACTCTTGGACTGGAATCCTTTTGCTCAAGTAATTGCCTTTTGTTCTTTTTTGCAGCCTGAACCTCTTCTTTAGTTAACAATAAGTTTAAGAGAAAAGCAGTGGTTAGAATGGAAAAATGTTTGTTAAAAGAATAAGTTACTTTGGATGATGGGTGCTTCATGTACTGATGTAACAGTTGGGAGATACTGCTCAGGGTGGAGATCCTTGGGAGAGGTGGATAGGAGACCTGGCAAGAGCTTGTTAGTAAAGTCACTCGGTTGATGCCAGAACTAAAGAGGATGTCAAGAGAGAAGTCTGCCAGCCTTGCTACTATGGTCTCTGCTTCTCAGGCCAGGAAGGGAGCCGTCCTGGAAGCTTATCAGACTAACAGGTAGAAAGATCTCACAGCCCTTAGCTGGTTTATCGCAGTGGTTAGAGCATTGGCCCATGGACTGAAGGGTCGTGGGTTCGAACCCAGTCAAGGGCAGGTATATCAGTTGCAGGCTCGATCCCAGTCTGGTTGCACAGATACCACCAGGCAGGCATCAGCAGCACCTTGCCCACCAGTGGGTCCCAGCAGCAGTGGCCCAGGAGAAACCAGGGTAACCTCTGCTGCAGGGGAACCAAGATCTCAGGTTCCTGACACACATCGCCCTGTTGTTCTTACATCGCCCTCCATCTTTAACCACGTCCCGTGGGCAGGGGCTTCTCATTCACTTGTTTTGTCTATACCACTAAACTATGAATTCCTTTAGGAAAAAAAAATCCAAGTGCTTAATAAATCCAAGTGCCTAGTGGACAAATAGTTTTGGTAATAAGACAAACAAATAAAACCTTAATTGTGTGTGAATTCTTCCTTGTGGATTAGGACATGAGCCAAGTCCCAACTTATGGAATCAGTCATTCTGGTGCGGGGCCTCTGTAAAGTCTCCCTAAGGCACAAATGCCTGTGGTTTCATCGTCCCATCACCTTAGCCACTCTATTCTATTTGGTCTTTTCTTTGCAAAGAGACCAATGACAGTTCACACTGGCATTTATCTTTCAGGCAGTGGTTCTCAATCTATTCTAACTTTACCCTTAATAGGACATTTGGCGATATCTGAAGACATCTGGTGATATCTGTAGACATTCGAGGA